ATTTCACATCTCACAATAAGACCTGTTTTCAGGGTTTTAAAAGCGTGCCTTAAAATCAAACAACTAATCCATAAGGAAATAAATATTTCAATAAAAATTCACTTTAAAATGTTCGACTCAATAATAAAACAAATTCTTTTATACTGCTGTGAAGTCTGGGTAGGTTATATTGTGAACAATAAAACAAATATTCCATGACCCTCATGTCATGTCATGTCATGTCATGTCATGTCATGCTGAAGGCGAACAACAATAATTGCAAGTCTTCTTGAATTAGAGAGTCACCCACTAATAGTCTCAATAATTTAAATATTGGCTGAGAATTGAAACAACCCAAGCTCACAATCCACAAAACAATATCTGGATTATATTAGCATGGAAAGCACATGGAAGGAGGTAAATATTTGAGATAAAAATTCCGTATTAAACAAATCACTGAAAAATGATTTACCAACTTTGAAATAAACACCAGAATCAAAATAAATAATGATAATAAGAGAATAAAAATAAATCTCATACACATAGATTTCTAATTAATCGGAGGAAACTTCAGAAACTATTATTACTACAACTTTGGACCTCATTCATTTCCAAAGCTAAATATATTTAAGAACCCTAAAAAAACATGGACACGGTTAAGTTGACTTATCAACTTGTTGAAAGCTACCTTTGTGTTTTATTGCTGAGTATAAATACAGTTATCGATTTATCGATTGATTATAGGGTAACAACATACAACTACGAGGACGCTGTTCAAAAAAGAAAATCTCAGCGCGACAATTCCATTTATTCAGAGGGTAGTAAAATATAGTTTAAGAGGGACAAACATTTCTATGATTATGGTTTATTTCACGAAAAGAAAAAAGAAAATAAGCAAAACCCATTTACGAAAATTAATTACATTATATTCTATTCATATCACGTAAATTGTATACATAATTTTGAAATTCACCTCGATCACTGGGTCGTGGAATAGTATCGTCCCACAAACAGCCTAATAAATTTACATGCATAATGATCGACCTGTGTGACATGACAACACGGTCATGTAAATGTTGCCTGTTCACTGAAATAGTGATACACCACCAAATGCAAGAAAACTTTATACGTTGGATCGAGCGAGAAATTTACCATATTTCACCAACACGCCATTTGATGTTTGAGTTACTACGCCCACAAAACGTTTGAAACTGCTGTAGTTGCCAATCAGTACTACAGTGAAGCCAACTGCGTGCCGTCGAGCCACCCAGAACTCCTTGACAGGCTCGAACTTCGGAGACCACTGCACGTTGTTTTAATTTGACGAGTGGCGATTGCTTCCCGAAGACGAACTAACGTGTGTGACACCAACTTGAGTCAGGTAGGTGTACAATATGTAGATTATATATATTTTAATTTGTATGCGACCAAATGGTATCGCCATACAGGCAAAAACTTAAATTTATTGTCCGGAATTATAAAAATCGATTTTAAAAGTTTTATCCCACTCCCAGTGGTTTCAGGCGCCTGTGGTTTCAGACACAGGTCAGATGGACGCGTAGTCCTATTTGTTGTGTCTGTACAGATCGAGTAATTTCTTGACTGTAAAATAGGCACTGTGTATTTGAGTAACGATACACTAGCCACGAATATAAGAAATAAGCGACATGGAGTGAACTTCGTTGTTTCAGAAATACACATTCCATCGCGACGTCAAAACAGTCGGTACTAGCATGGTTTATAGTTCCAT